CATTTTTAGAGGTTATATTGGTGAATAGACCCGTCAGGGATCTGTGCAACGTAAGTGAGATAAGGCAATCATCCAGGTCACAGACCTCAGGTTCCTCCACATCTAGGTCTTCTATTTCTGCTTCTTCTAGGACAGTTATGGGGTCGGTTATGTTGCACATCTCCTCAATGTGACCGATCTTCCCAGATAGGACGTCTCTCTGGATTTTCAGTTGCTGGATCAGGTTAGAGACAGACATTGAGACCTTCTCTTCCTGACTGGCAATCTCACTCAGGACTTTCTGCGCCTGGACCTCCAGCTGTCTCCTGATGTCCTCAAACAGGGCCGAGACTCTTTCCTTCTCATTGTCTGCTTTTTCTTGTGCTTTTTTCTTGTGGTCCTTTAGATTCTGGATTCTTTCTTCAATCGCTCCTCTCTCTGTTATCAGTTTTTCATGAACGGTTCTTAGTTTCTCCTTCTTCTTCTCCGAAGCCTCTTCCAGAAGTTCCACTTTGTGTTCTCTATGTTTCCCCACCAGACAGCAGGACACACATAGGCAGACGCCATCCTCGGGGCAGTAATATTCCAGAAGCTTCTTGTGGATGGAGCACTTTTTACTTCTGAAGGACGTGGTGGGTTCCATCAACACATGGTCCACTGTCTTGTTGTGGGCTGTCAGGTGCTTATCACACATAGAGGTCTCACACTGCACACAAGTCTTGACGGCTGCCACCCTAAAACCCACACAATACGTACAGAGGATCTCACTTTTCTCCGGATGTTCAGATCTGACATTTTCCACAATGTTACACAGCTTAGCCTTCTTCGGCGGCACAGGACACTCCGCGTTCTCCTCTCTGCATCTTGGACAGGAATAAACTCTAAATCCCTCCTGTGTATCCAGAGCAGCCGCAATACAGTTCCCGCAGAACTTGTGTCCACACCTCAGTGTCGCCAGCTCCCTACAAAGGTCCAGACAGATGGAGCAGCTCAGCTCGCCTCCAAGTGCGGCAGATGCCATTCTGGGCACAACAAAGAAAAAAACAATACTCAAATTCAGTTTGTAAAAGAAGTAGATCGTCCTAAAACAGAGGATATAAACCTTACCGAGAAGAAATGCAAAGGGCTCACTCGTCTAAAACACATACGCTAAGAGGTGGCTGCATTGATGTCTAGCAACATGTACAGGTGAAACTCGAATAATTAGAATATCGTGCAAAAGTAATTGCAGTAAGTGCTGCAAAAGGGGCCCAAACCAAGTACTGAGTACATATGCATGCTTGTACTTTTCAGAGGTCCGATATTGTTCTATGTACAATCCTTGTTTTATTGATTGCATGTAATAATCTACTTTTTTGAGGTTGTGGATTTGGGGTTCTTGGGGTTTTCATGAGCTGTAAGCCATAATCATCACAATGATGACAAATCACGCCTTGAACTATCTTGCTTTGCATGTAATGAGTCTCTCTCATATATTAGTTTCACCTTTTAAGTTGCATTAGTGAAATAAATGAACTTTGCACGATATTCTAATTATTCGAGTTTCACCTGTATTTCAGAGGATTTGTATTGCATTATGTAAGGACCTTGGGGTGGGTGATGGAGACCCTCAGGTTTTGGGGTGGCTGTTGGTGAACTTCTCCATCAACCTCCCCAAAACTGAGGGGCTTCATCATCCACCCCAAAACCTGAGGGGCTCCATTAACCACCCCAAAAACCTCATGCTTCTCCATCAACCACCCCAAAACCTCATGCTTCTCCATTAACCACTCCATTTAGGGTGGCTGATGGAACAGCATCAGGTTTTGGGGTGGTTGATGGAGAAGCATCAGGTTTTGAGGTGGTGCATGGAGAAGCATCAGGTTTTGGGGTGGTGGATGGAGAAGCATCAGGTTTTGGGGTGGTTGATGGAGAAGCATCAGGTTTTGGGGTGGTTGATGGAGAAGCATCAGGTTTTGGGGTGGTTGATGGAGAAGCATCAGGGTTTGGGGGGGGTGATG